CAGGAATGCTGATTCATGAGATTTTCTAGGTGCTTTAATTAGAGTGGTTTTCAGAGCCGCTCTAATTAAAGCGAACCCCCCCCATACACACCCCCAGAGCACATGTAAAAATATTCTACGCTCACTTTGCATTGTCGTATGACTCCATAGGATGCAGAGACACAAAACATTTAGCTATGTTAACCCTCTATGTTCTAATCCAAAATGGCAGTTTTAATGTAGAAATTACATTAAAGGTACATATGGCCTTTTGCCCTGAAAGGACTTCAAATGCTTAACTAACAGTACCAGACACTCTATTAACTACAGACATAGGAACTACTTCCCCTGCCACAGAAATGGAGCTACCTCTGCAGTGGAAGTAAGCAGTTATTTAAAAGTATAAGAGAAAATAAAGTGTATCAACTGAATCTGTATGTCAGGAGAAATGTCCAGAGGCAAAACATACTTTGGCAAGAGTGCCAGAATTAATACCCTGACTGTAAAGAGAAGCGCCAAGAGATAGTTAATGAACTGTAATGGAGCACTGGCTCAAGACCAACCTTGTGGGGACTGGCAGCACTAGCACCACACCCTTTAGCAATGTGGCTTTTCCATATGTGTCTTGTATCCAAGTACGGGGGCCTTGAGAACATCATGAAATCTGATGTGATCAAAGCCTCTAGAAGATGACTCGAGACAAATGCAGCCCTAGAGCCATCACTGGGCATGCAAAGCCTGGACATGTTTCTTTCCACATCTGAAAATCTTGCCAGGCAGAGGCAGAGTGAATCCCAGGCTCCCATGGCAGATTCTTAAGCCAGCACCTGGATGCGCACCTGTTGTGAAGCTGTGTCCATTTCTACCAGATCAGTGATGGGCTCACTATCCGGTGACGAAGTCTCTGCTGGTATGACCACCACAGGGCTGATATGTTCTGACAGTGCTGAGGCCCGTAGGAAGTTGGGAGGATTCTGTGGGAGGGAGAAAAACAGAACGGATGAAAAGAGCTCAATAACTGAGACTCAACAGGCCAAACACCCACCCCTCACCATCATCCCCAGGCAGCTCCAATGGGGTCACAGCATCACTCAGAGGAAGTTCTGTGGCTGGGGTTGCTTTCAGAACTCAGATTCTGCCTATTAAGGGAATATTATACATCTTTAATTCTACTTAGCACTGCCTGGGAACTCTGACAGGGAGCACTGGTATCCTCAGGAAGCTAAGGTCAACATGGAGTTTGAGTTGTTTTACTGGGTCCCTCCCACAAAGCTGAGGCCAAATAATTATGTTTAGATTTAAGGAAGCAATTTTACTAAAATAACTGTGCAGAATTATCCTCCTGCCTTTCAGTGGCATTTCAGGGGAAAGGATTTCTGGGAAGCAAATATTTCTCTGGAAGGTTTGGAACTCAAGATGAAGAAACATCTTTTTAATGCAAGGGTAAGCAAAAGTGGTTCATTACAGACCAAACTGATTGTGCTCTCAAGGCCAAAGAAAGCAAAATAAGCTACATAGTAACAGATTACAGCAAAAGCTTTGTTATCTGGCACCCATGGGGAATGGGGGGGTGCCGAATAACCAAATATGCCGGTTATCTGTGAGGTCTGAACATGCGTCTTTGCCTGCTGCTATGTCCTGGGCCGTGGGGGCTTGGCAGCACAGGCTGCTTTGCCCCGGGCCGTGGGGGCTTGGCAAAACCGGAAGTGCCATGGTGGGCACTTCTGGTTTCTTTTTTGCCGCATTGACTGGCATGCCGGTTAGTAGAGCATGCCGGTTTGTTAGGTGCCAGATAACGCAGCTTTTACTGTACATCAGTTTCAACATTTTTTCCTGTTCTAATCATCTCAGGGTTTATCAGTATCCTAGGGAAGGCATCCTTTCACAACAGCCTTTGAATCTGTTCCCATGAGCACCATGTTTGGTTTTGAATTATGACAGCAACACACCTTTACAAAATGCAGACTGTGGGTGGATTCCCATAGGAGAGGTGTCAGAACAGCCCAGCTCTTGAGAGCACTCAGGGTGACGTTCCTTTTACACTCCAAGAATATTTTAAATATAGCCTTCATTTTTACAACTGCAAGGCTCTACCCATAATTAGTCATGGGTGTAAATACCAGCACTTCAGTGTCTAATGAGCAGAAAGTGGGATGTGAGAAAGCTAGTATTTGTGCTCCTTAATAACTTCTGTACAACTGATGCATCTTTAAGAACGTTTGTGCACTTAGAGGTGCTCATTCACATTATAATTAAAACATGTTTGTGCTGTAATTAGATGCTTGAGCGTTACCTCACTGTCGTATGTATTAAGCCCCAGCACGTTTCAAAATGGCCACAGGTGTTTTATCTAAACCTCATTGAATGAGCTTCAGGTAAAGCATCCCATGGTTATTTTGAAACATGCAGGGGCTTAATACATGTGATGGTGAGCTATTTTAATTAGGAGTGGCTGTCCTGGAACCCCTCTAATTAAAACGCGCCCCCCCTCATCCCGAGCATGTGTATAGGCAGCCTTTAGGTCCTTAGCCTTTAGGTCCCCCAGCAAGCTATAAGGGGGATCAACAGCAAATAGGCAGAGCTCTTTTCTCCCCAGCACCACCTGAGGTGACGAGGAACAATGGTCATAAGCTGATGGAGAATAGGTTTAGGTTGGAGATCAGAAGGCAATATTTTACAGTTAGGGTGGCCAAAATCTGGAACCAACTTCCCAGGGCAGTGGTCCTCACCCTTACCTTGGGCATATTCAAGAGGAGGTTGGATGATCACCTGTCTGGGGTCTTGTGAACCCAACATTCATTCCTGCCTGTGGAAGGGTGTCAGGCTAGATGATCTGTTCAGGTCCCTCCTAACCCTAGCTACTATGAAACTATGAAACCTTCCTCCATGTTGTGCCTCACAAAACTGCACAGTAAATCAAACTCTACAGCCCGTCTTCAAACCAGTGGTAAGGGGCTCTGAAAAGCCTGCCTCCTCTGGAATTGTGTAAATATGGCGTTACAGACTTAGCTGAAGGTAACCAGCCTTGAACACTGTTTTAAATGACTTGCCCACAAACACACAGATCAGTTACAGGACTGGGAAGAGAATCCAGGAGTCCTGACTCCCAGTGCCCTGTTCTAGGCACCAAACACCACTGCTTAGGTATGCCAATGATTACTGCAAGCACTCCCCTTAACCTGTACCTAGGCACAAGACAGAATCTGTTCAAGTCTCACCTCTGGAAGCTGTGGAATCTGGATCAGCCGTTTAAAGTATTGCAAGTTGCTGGAGCGATAGAACAAATCTTTGAGCCTGCAAGGGAATAGTGCAGTGGCTGTTTAGATTCTCTAGGCTCTGGCTATGGAATTGGTTCTGCTCTTCTCTACTTCCAGTCTTTACCCCCCAGACTCAAGGTCATTCTGTTGGTATCAGATAGAGGGAGGGAAAGGCAGCCACTGGCTTCAAATACACTGCTGCCATTTTCCCATCAAATCCAGTGTAGGTAGATGGACAGTGCCCTGAGGAACCCAGCCTCCTGGATTTCTGTCTCAAGATAAGCAGTGAGCACATTGAAAACTCAGTCCAGGAGGCTGCTGTTCCTCTTTGCCACCCCCTCCACTACCTCCTCCCCCCATAAATCAAGAGAGACAGAGCTGGCCACAAGCTCAAAGCTGGCCACAAGCTCCAGTGGAGACTAAGAACTAGAAAGAATAATCAGCTAAACCAGAGAAGAACCAGAAGTCAGATTTGCCTCCCTTGAGTTTCCTGCTTTCCTTATCTTGGATGACTACATGCTCCTATGAATGTTACCCCAGAGTCCCTTCAGTGCACCACAGCTGCACTACTCTCCTGGCTGGAGAAAATGGGGAGGGGAGCAAGCCAGAGCCTTTCAGGATAGAAAGCACTGCTCAGTCCACACTTTTCAAAAACAGGAGAGATTGATGCACTAGAAACACACTTCTAATGAGCACATCACCACTGCTTCTAGGTGCCATCAGCCCAGTGAAACATCTCTCTCAGTAGTTCTTCACCACACAACTGGAATGTAGTCATACTTAGTTTCCATTTTTTTTAACACAGAAAGGGCTCAAACTGCAAGACGCATTCATGGGAGCAGGACTGGGCCCTTAGCAACAGCTATAATAGACTTTCATTTCAGTGTAAACTGCATGTTCCAGTTAAACCGCAATTAAATGGTTTCATGGTTTAAATCATCAGCTGTCATTTCACATAAAATGCCAACTGTGGCTGAATGCTGCTTTAGATTTAAGGGGTTTAGGTTATAGCCGTGTTGGTCTAAGGATATAGGCAGACAAGGTTCCTTGGGTGAATTTGATATCTTTTATTAGACCAACTAAAACAAAAACCAACTTTGTCAGGCTTCCTGAGCCTGACGAAGGGTTTTTGAACCCGAAAGCTTGCTTAATAACTATTCTCCAACCATTTGGGTTGGTCTAATAAAAGATATCAAATTCACCCAAGGAACCTTGTCTGCTTTAGATTTAATGCAGCAGTTACACGATAATTCAATATCAATGGATTATCCAAACAGACTGGGTATGCCAGAGAGGCCAGCTCAGTTCCCAGAAAACCATTTTTAGTGGGAGCACAGGAACTGGGACTTTGTTAATTTCTAAGCTACAGATTGTACATTTCAGACACCCACCTAAGTCAGCATCCACAAAACTCTGCTCAGCTGCTGAGACTGATTTAAAAATAGGTCTGAATGGCCCACTAAGTTATCCAATGGGTTATAAATGTAGGCCTCCCAATTGACAAGAAATAGTCTTTTTGATCTGAAGTCAGCATGCAAAGCATTACTATCAAAACCTGGTGGTAGCCAGGGGCAGGCACTCATCCGTTCAGGGCACTTACTTTCTGAACTGTTCCAGAAAACGGTCCCTGTGTCCTTGTAGTGTATCAGCTGGGAGACCTGTGCATGAAGGGATGCAGATAAGAATTGTGAATGAGCAGGAATTGTGAACACTGCCAAAGACAATAGATCACAAAAGGAAAGTGTACTCTTGGGAGGAGAGCCATTTTTACAGGTTATTACTCTAGTCTCAGCCTCTCCCAGCAGGAGGTGCTGAAGCATGGAAGGAGAAGGGGCTCCCAGCTAAAAGGGCTGTGGGGTATGAAGTAGAAGCACAGCATGGGGCAGCTCATTCATAGAGAGGAAGAGGTCCTTTGTTCATCCTCAGTCAGGGAGCTGGCAATGACCAGGCTGCCTAAATCAAAGAAGGCCACAGGCAATGCATCCTGAGGCTATACTGCTGCATCTTCACTGTTATTGGCCACAACCTAGCTAGACTAACACTGGTATGCCTCCACAAGCTATATAAAAGCTGCTCAAGCTCATCACGGCAATAAAATGGCAACTGCTGGTAAGTGTCAGAGCAGGGAGGTGTGGTATGTACTTACAGGAGTGCAGCTTGAAGAGAAGCTTGACAGTGTAGTCATAGAGATGACTGCAGTCTAATATGACCTGTATCAGTGGGGCCAAGCGGCACTGACCAGCAGCAGTGACAGACACGGAGCGAGACATGTCCAAGGAGTTGAATACTAATGTGAGAGAAATACAGAAAGCATTTAGGGTTTGTGCTATGCAATGCATTGAAAAAACAGTCAGTCGCAGTGAGGGCCCATCACAAGTTATCATTAAAATCCCATATGATATTCTGCACAGCAATTCATCATAGTACATTTCAATGTCCAGTCACAGGACATTTTGTCTATTTGAGTTCCTTATCTTCCCCCTTCTCAGTGCCTATGTAAGACTCTCTTCTCAGATCACAAAACTTGCGGGAGAGGAAAAAAAAGAAATATATATATAGAGATCTCTCTCTCTCTCTCATCACTTCTAGTTCAAGCTAGAAGGTGAGAAGTGAATGGGGAACTGACCATTCCACTGTCTCCCACTGGCATGGGGTTATCCAGGAATCTGCTTTGGGGGATTGCATGAAAATGTCTTTATTGGTGAACATTGTACATGCGCCACAGTCAGACCAATCTGGTAACCATATGACAGGTCTAAAGCTACTTTTGATGTCTACAGATTTGGGACATCAAACAGCTGCGTAAGAGGTCTACATAGGGAACAGATCTCATGTGTGCGTTTGTGTGTGTGTACACACCACTGCAATAAAACTGCAGAGAGATTTCCTGCTTCATAGTAGCTAGGGTCAGGAGGGACCTGAACAGATCATCTAGCCTGACCCCCTGCCACAGGCCGGGAAGGAAGGCGGGGTCCCAAAAC